CGGGTGAGCCATGATGGGGGAGAGGAGGAGTAGGACACAGAAGAACTGGAGGAGGATGAAGGGTAGTAGGGCATGCCCAAGGAGCCCCTGGACACACTGGAAATGGGGCGGTAGTGCGCGATGTTCTGGTAGGCACTGTCCCGGCCATACGTGGGGCGCTCCCTGAGGTGAGAGAAGGCAGCAGGTGGGCCCAGAGGACCTGGACTTGGGCCCAGCCCCAGCCCCCATCCCTCCACATTGCTCACCTATCTTTGCTCTCCTCTTCAGAAGAAGAGAAAAGATTGTCATCGCGTACCTGCGGAAGAGTCAGAGGGGACGTGGCCCTGTCATATCCCTTAGCCCAGATTTTGGCTAGCCTTCTGTGACCATGGCTTAAAGGCCAGTGCCCTGTGTCACGTGCTGACTTCCTGGCTTTTGTCTGTGAGGCTTTATCACTTGCTTGGTGACCTGGCTGCCTGTGTAGCACCCTCTTTTCGCTCCTGGGATCTGAACAAGAGCCTGAATATTGGCCTTAGACCAGGGTGCAAGGCAAGTCCCTGCTCTAGTCATGAAGTACTAATGGCTCCCAAAGCAGGGTCCTGACCAAACAAGCGTCTGCTAATACTGACTGCCAAGAAGCCAAGGAGGACCCATGTGCAACCAGTGCTGCCCTGGATTTCTCCAAACCAGCTACCATCTCAGGTGGGGCCCTCGGATGGCCAGCTCACCTGGTGGTGAAAGGTGTCGGCATCCGAGAGTGAAGTCCCAGGCTGGCGGAAGCCTTTGGCTGTGCCCACAGACTCAGGTTCCCCGTAAGTCCTGGTGCTTAAGTAACTCTCCTCATAGTAGTCGTCGTTATAGCCTTGGGAAGAGAGCAGTGGGAGCAGAGGGGTGTAGGTGTTCTCCACCTGGCCGGAAGGCCCTAGTGGAAATCCCATTTCAGGGCCCGGGCCAGTGTCTCCCCTCTAGGGTAGTTGGGAAGCAGTGGGGGTTGAGGCCTCCAATCTCAATCTCCCGGAGATGGGGTCCCCGAAGAGTGGGTAAAGGTGTCAGGGTGGCCCACTCCACCTTACCCTTGCTCTGGTAAAGTAAGGCGTCCTCTTTCTTAGGCAGATCGTACATATCCGAGTCCACAGATCCTGAATCCAAGTCTGAATGGAGGGGGACAGGACCATTTGCCCCCAGACTTCCCTCCCTCCTCCTCGCAGCCCTCTCCACCAGCGCCCCAGCCACACCCTGGGGACCCCATTCTCCCAGTCGTGCCAGTTGATCAGTGGTCTCACCCGAGAACCTATAGGAGAATGAGGCTGACGAGTTGGGGGGCGACAGCCTCCGCCTCTGGGTCTCGTACTCGAAGATCTTCTTTTCGTAGAGCTTCCGAGTGGAGCCTGGTCAGACACCGGACAAGAGATGTCAGGTGCGCGAAGCTGGGGGTGGGAGGATACGGGGACGCGGGGAAGGAGTCTAAGGGACGCCGG